AACTCGAAAATTCCAAAACTCGAGAATTCCATAACTCCAGAATTCCATAACTCGAGAATTTCAAAACTCCAGAATTCCATAACTCCCGAATTTCAGAATTCCAAAATTCTAAAATTCCAGAATGCCAGAATTCCAAAATTCTAAGATTCCAGAATTCCAAAATTCCAAAATTCCAAAATTTTAAAATTCTAAGATTCCTAAATTCCAAAATGCCAGAATACAAAAACTCCTGAATTCCAAAATTCTAAAATTCTAAGATTCAGGAATTCCAGAATTCCCTAATTTCAAAATTCCAAAATGCCAGAATACCAAAACTCCTGAATTCCAAAATTCAAAAATTCAAAAATTCCAGAATTCCAAAATCCTTGTATTCCTCACACGTGAATTCTTGAATTCCTGAATCCCTAAAATGTAAAATTCCTCAATCACACTCACCAATCCCCCATCCCAAAAATCCCTAAATTCCACACCTCCCACCTCCTTGAATTTCTAAATTCCACTTCCTACCCTTCCAAATTTCCAACAACCCAACTCGTTAAATATCCAAGTCCCAAGCCAACTCCGAATCTCGTAAACATTTACCCGGTACCAGCAAAGGACATTAAATCGGTGGACGACACTAATATTAAATTTACCCGAGCGTGGGTTAAGTCCATCGCTACGTTTCGCTCTCGCTTGTGGACGAAGCGAGACGCAACACGGTTTCGATCCGCGTGTGGTCGCTCGTGTGGTTCGAGCGGAAGGTTCACGGTGCGACGAGGACGCGAAATCCATCGTGAAAGGGAAGCGTCGTAAGACGGAAAAAGAGAGAATAAACGAGAGTGAGCCACGAATAGATCGGAGAAAAAAGAAGGAGAAAGACAGAAGGAGACAGAAGGCGCAAGGGGGAGGAAGGAAAGAACTGGCAACCGGGCTATAAAACTTCGTACAAAACGAAAGCAACGAACGATCAGTTTGCTCGTCCTCCATACACCTTTGTGTCATTCTGTTTCACTTTCTCTCCTGTCTGCCTGTCTCGCTTAGCGATCGATTTTTCAAAGTCCGACGCGTTTAAATAAAAGATGTCTCTTGCGGACTTTAGGAATTTCTTTGTAACGTCTGCTCCTTTCTTCCTCTTCGATATTTCTTACCCACTTATCACGCGACTCTTGCCATTTTTTTTTATGTGGACGTTCGGATATTTTTCTTGTGAGTTTCGGGTGGAGAGAAAATATTTGAATACCGAAAATAACTTCTTAAATATTTGTAAATTTTGGAAGTTTTTTGTGGTAGATTTTCAATACTCGGTGCATTTTATTAATTCTATTAATGTGTGTATTTTGGTCTACAAGAAATTTTATGAAATTTTGGTATGATTGTGACGATAAGTATGTTGCGTTAAATTTTAAATAAAATGGCTGCATGTTTGACTTGTTTAATAGGTAAATAGAAACATAAGATCGAAAACTGTTACGAAATTAAGATCAACAGCGATTTACAAAGGCGGAGGTCTTCAGAAGAAAGAAAGACAAACACTCAATGAAAATACGAACCTACCAGAGAAATTTGACGTTTTAATTAGTAGCTAGAAAGTTCCTATACGTTTCACAGATTCACGAGAATGAAAAGATGGTTTTCCTTTAACATTAGAGTGTCTTGAAATAGCTATGTCGAAAGAGACTCGTAATTACAGTGTTTTAATAAAATATAAGGTCACAGGAAGTTAGGATAATTTGTATTTTTACTTTAAGAAAAAGCAGTAACTTCAGTTCAAAGAGTCAGGTGTTTTACGAGCGATTGTGTTTATCTGGTGTTGCACAGCACTGGACCGTTCCGCGGGTTATTACCCTTGTTACGCGGTACAGTTCAATTAAGTGAGTTACGATGGTAATTCCATCGGCTATGACCAAGGAAGTGAAATTTCCTCGCAATATTCGGCCTGGAAATTCGAGCAAGCTCCATGTCGAGATCGAACACTAATTTACGATCACAATTCCTTTTTGTAGATTTTATAATTGTTCGTTCTAATTGGAATTCGTTAATTAATGTAACTTTGTGACAGTGAAGTAAGTTAGCATATGTAACTTTGTGACAATAAAATAAGTCAACATATGTAGCTTTGTGATAATAAAGCAAATCAACATATGTAACTTTGTGACAATAAAATAAGTCAGCATATGTAGCTTTGTGATAATAAAGCAAGTCAACATATGTAACTTTGTGACAGTAAAGTAAGTCAACATATGTAACTTTGTGACAGTAAAGTAAGTCATCATATGTAACTTTGTGACTATAAAATAAGTCAGCATATGTAGCTTTGTGATAATAAAGCAAGTCATCATATGTAACTTTGTGACAGTGAAGTTAGTCAGCATATGTAACTTTGTGATAGTAAAGTAAGTCATCATATGTAACTTTATCACAATAAAATAAGTCAGCATATGTAACCTTGTAATAATAAAGTAAATCAGCGTATGTAACTTTGTGACAGTGAAATAAGTTAGCATATGTAACTTTGTGACAATGAAGTAAGTCAGCATATGTAACTTTGTGACTATAAAGCAAGCCCACATACATAACTCTATCAGCATATCTAACTATGAAGCAAGCATATGTGACTATGAAGCAAGCCCACATACATAACTCTATCAGCATATGTAACTTACTAACAATAAAGTAAGTCCACATATGTACCGTTATAACACCAAAATCAGATATATCGCTCAGTAAAAGAATAAAACTATCCAACGAATAAAACACCGTGTCATAAAGCATCGAAAAGGCGTTCGTCGAACAGAGAAACCACGGGTAAGCCCTGAATTGGCCGTGAATCGGTGTTTGTGGTCGAGGTTGATAGCATCGTGGAGTCGTGGCGGGCGTCTCGCCAACCGAGTCAGCGATCCCTCGAAGCTCGTAGCAACCTCCCTCGACTTCTCCTTCGTGTTTTCCTCCTTTCCTCTTCTACCATCCGGTATCCGTCTCTCTCCAACCGAAAGAGTCTCGCCCGTGGTGTGCTCTCAGGGGGAAAATCCTTCCGTTCTCTTGACATCGTGACCTAGGGCAACGTAAACCCGAGGCGTGATAAAACGGGATGTGCCGCGACAGCACCCAAACATAACCCTC